TTCTATTCTTTTACTTTCAGGCTGAGTTTGTCTTGTCCAGTAATGTGCATTTCTTGCAGGCTGAAAACAGTTGAGTCTTGTTTTTTTAAATCCAATCCCCAGCCTCTAATTTTTAATTGGAGAGTTGAGACCATTGACATTCTGAGTTATTATTGAAAGGTATGTTAACTAATTCCTGTTATTTTGTTGTTTTTTTAATGCTGGAATATTTCTTAACCCTCATTTACTTATCTACTCTTTCACTGAGATTTTGCCTTTTCTGTGATCTCATGGGTTTGTTTATCTTCTTGTTCTCCGTGGAATTCTTTTAAGTATCATTTGCAGTGCTGGCTTAATGGTCATAAATTCCTTCAGCTTTTGTTTACCATTGAAGATTCCTTAAATCATGAAGGATAGCTTTGCTATCCAGTATTTTGCTATTCAGTAATCTAGGTTGGCAACTATTTTCTTTCAAGGCTTGAGACTTATCATTCCATGAGCTCTTGGCTTTTAAGGTTTTTGTTGAGAAATATGCTGTTATTCTGACAGACTTGCCTTTCTATTTGACTTGCACTTTTCTCTTGCAGCTTTCAATATTCTTTCTCTTTTCTGTGTACTTATTATTTTAACTGATATGATGTTGACAGAGCCTTTTCCTATCTTGACTGTTTACTGTTCTAAAAGCCTCCTCTACCTGAATGTCCATTTCTTTTCCTAGAAGACATATTCTATATCTTTAGTTTATTGCTCTTCTCCTTCTTTTATGCCTTTGATTCTTAAGTTTGGTCCATAAATGGTCTTATATGTTCTGTTCGTATTTTCTTATTTTTTCTTTATTATTGTCTGAATGTTCTAATTCATTTACCTTGTCTTCAGCCTTGATATTTGGTCTTCAACTTGATCTAGTCTGTTGTTGATGTTTTCAACTGAGTTCTTAAACATTTAACTTATTGAGGTTTTCATTTTTGAAAATTTATTTTCCCCCAGAATTTCTATCTCTTTATTGAGCTCCTCTTTCATATTCTAATTGCTTTCTTTATTTTGTACAACTGATATTTGTATTCTCTTTGCATTCATTTAGGTGTTTATTCATATCCTCTTCAATTTTATTGATATTTTTATAATCATTCTTTTGAATTCTTTAGGATTTCATTCACTTCACTACCATTAGAATTACTGACTTTTGGAGGAGTCATGTTGCTTTATATTTTTTACTGTTATTCATATTGGGATTTATGAATCTGGGGCCAGCTCACTGGAGCTTTTACTTTCCTGTGTTCTTTAAGGTGCTATATTTGGGGTGGGAGGATTGGGTAGTGGCATTGTCAAGGTACAGTTTCTTGCCAATGGTGTAGTTGTGTTCCTTAGTAACTGAAAATTCACCCAACATTCTCAAATTCTGATCTGACCCCTAACACCACTCAGAGAGAAAAAAATGAGACTCAGCAGCAACTGCATTTGACTAACACACCAAGTATGTGAATCTGCTAATAAGAATAATCATCATCAGGAGTCCAATAATATTTGGGAATGAAAGAGCAAAGACCATTCTACATGAACTAAGAAGACACTACTTTGTAAGTATATAGATGGGAAGGAAGTAGGAAGAATAAAACTAGTGAATATTTCCAATTTCATGGGAAATAAAAATTGAAGGAAAAGAGGATAAAGTAAATAGAAAGGAGAATGAAAAACAAGAAGAGAATATATTGCGAAGATCTGGCTAAAGGAAGACTGAGATAGAGAAAAAAAGACCCTGCAAACAAACAACCCAAACCAGTAACAACAAAAAGAATTGTTGAGGGGAAGTTAGAGAGAGAAGAAAAAGGAGAGAGAAAATGGATCTAAATGAATACAGAAAAACAATAAAATGGGGGGGGGAATGGCTATGGAGAAAGGACAGGGAGGAAGAAGAGATGATTAAAAATAGATGACTAACATCTAGGTGTGGTGAGTCATGTCTACAATCTCTACACTTGGGCGGTAGAAGCAGGGAGATGGTAAGCCCCCAGCTGTTCTCAGCAATATAAGGAAAACCCACTCCAAAAACAGATCAAAACAAAATCAGCAAGAACTATGGGCAAGGCTCACATGGTAGAGCACTTGCCTAGCAAGTGGGAGGCATTGAGTTCAGATCCCACTACTACAAAACAAAATAAAAAACAGAACTAGACATATGAAATCAAAGAAATTATATATTAAATGCAGAAGTAATATAAGTTAGTATAAAAACAAGGAAAAGAGCAAAAATAAATTATAGAAAAATTTATATGTAAATATAAAAACCAATCAGTTCAACTTAAAATCTCTTTAGAAAAGCAAACAGTTAAAAAACTGAAGAAAAAAAAAGAAAACTAGGGAAAAGTAAAAAAATTAAAACCAAGAGTGTAAGTTTCCATTCTTCTAAGGATGCCATTCATGTGGGCAATAGCACAAATTGTCAGTCAATGTCTACTGGTTTTTCTCTCCCTGGCCAATTCACCAGCATGCTGCTGGGTGTGTGCCATCTTGTCTTCCTCATTTTCCATTGTGTTGTTCCCTAGGAACCAAGGATGTATTTTGTGGGAAGACCTGGTAGCGAATATTCCTCAGGACTCTATGGGTCTTGTCCTAATCTCTGGAGTCTTTAAGTATCTTCCTGTGATGGAAGCCCTATGGAGATGCACCTCTATGACAGAACACTCCACTCCACAGGCTCTGTCCTGTAGGTCTGCCCCCTCCCAGTGCTCCATGAAAATGAGAGGTGATTTCAAATCCCTTCTGTGACTCCAACTGGTTTCCCTTTGTGTAGAGTTCTCTGCCCTTCTGACTCAGACATTCTACCATAGCTAGACTCACACTCCTGGCCAGCACTTTAGTGAACAAGTGCTCTATCCTTACTGTGCGTTTCCATAGACCAAAACTGCAGGGACCTCTGACTGGTAATACTGCCACCTGGCCAGGAATCCATACACCATGACTGCCCACCAGTGAACTATGGCTGAGTGCTGGGGAGAAGAGAGAATGTTCTCAGTGCCTCTACACTATGTGGACTCCTGGATCCCTGTCTGGCTAGGCTGCAGACCTGCATGATTTTGAGTCCAGTGTTAATTGTGTTTGTCTCTCATTCTTACTTCACTCCCTGCCTCTGCCATGCCAATTGTCAAAGCTTTCTCTCTTTTTATAGTTCCACTCTTCAAAATCTTATGTTTATATTTTTTCAAAATAAGATTCTTCTTGTTCACAGCTGAAACCACAGTGCATGTTTTTTTTGGAGTTTTTGTTTTTTGTTTTGCTGTAGCCCCTGCCCTAATCCCTGGTCCTCACACTCTGTTTCATGCTTGGCTCTTTGCCCATGCTGGAGTGGACCTTCTTTCCCTTGTTTCCACTTACCAAACCCATACTCCTTTTTAAAGTCTGATTCTGTTTGTCTGCTATTGAAGCCTCAGTACCTCCTGCCTCACCTTGAAGGGTAGTTGGTCTCCAGCTGCTCCTGGTGACTTCCCTGGAGATGTTAGGGGGTGATTGTCTTTGGCCTGCATCTTAACCTCCTTCTGACCTGATGTTTTCTCATGAAAAGCTTTTGAAGATTCATTGTATTTGTAAACTTCAGCACGATTTACCTTTTTGTGGATCTTTTGCTGTTTTTTTGTTTCTCTTGCTGTACTTTGAAATCCAGGAATTTTCATTCTTTTGTTCTAGGATTTTATCTGGCACGGTTATTTGATAACACTTTCCACTCTAGTTTCTCTATCTCTTTGATATTATAAGTCTCTTTCTCATTTTCCGTATGTCTTTATTTTACTGTAACTTTGTCTTCAGGTCTACTAAAAATTGTACTGTTTACTAACACAGTGTTTAATATTAAAGATCTCTTTCCTCTTCTGTGTATATCCCCTCCTTTTCACTCATCTCTCACTTTAAACTCCTTCAATCAGTTTTGTAAAAAATATTTCTCTGTTACCTTGGATTCAGACACACTTGATGCCTTCAGTTCTTGATATTTCCCTGTATATTGGATCAGGATTTTGCCTCTTTTTTTTCTCACTCTGGTTATCTTAGCAGTTAGGTTTTAGTGCCCTGCTCTTGGACATAATCAGTCATAGAACCCTTTTCTGTTGTTTGAAGCAAAGTGACATTGTTGTTTGTCCTTTTCTGTTGCCTATGCTGCATCGTCTCTGCTCTTAAGAGCAAGTTCCTTTTTTCCCTTTCCTTTGTTTTTACAGTTTCTTTATATTACTTTTCCATGTAACACTTATTTTCTTTGATCTCTTTTGTATGGTTTTTCTCTGTCATTTTGGTGGTGGTTGTTTTTTCTGCATTTCTATTTATTTGTTTTTTTTCTCTTTCTCTGACATAGTCTTTCTTTGCCAGGGCCATGCTGGCCTGGGGTTGTAGTCTCACTGCCTCAGCTTCTTGAGTACATGGATTGTAGATGTGAGCACTACAGCTAGCCTTCACAATTTAATTTAAAATCATCTGTTCTTCCTCCCTCTCCTTTGAACACCCCCATTTTATTCTCTTTCTGCTTCAATAGATCAAGTTTCTTCTCTCTCTATCCCCCTTCTACAACTATTCATTTTGTTTGGCTTGCTGTTTGTTGGGTTTGATTATTTTTATTCACTTTTCTTTTCCATTTTACTTTTGCATATATGGAAATGTCATAATGAAACCCTTTACTCTGTATGATTTATATAAACCGTCAAGATATTTAAAATAGATATTGGGGGCTTCTAGCTCCTTTTTAAATAATTATTTGACTCCAATATTGAGGATATAAAACCTAATGTTAACAAAATATTGTCAAATTGAATGAAACAATGTATAAAGAAAATTATACTTTGTGGGATTTACTATCCATATGTGGTTAACTTCATGTGTCAGTGGAGCGCATTTTCTCTCTCTCTCTCTCATCCTGTTAGTTCTGCTTATCTGCAGAAACTTGGCTAATGCAGTAAGGCCAGTTTGATACTCAAAAATCAGTTAAGGGACTGAGGACAGGCCATAGCTCAGTTGTAGAGTGCTTCCTTATCATGTGTGAGGCCCTGGGTTTGATCCGCAGCAGTGCAAACATAAATAACAATAAACAAAGATGAAAATCCAATCCTTCCAAATCAATTAATACAACTCCACACATGTGTAAGCTAATACATAATTATGACCACATGACCATGTGGTCATATCAATAGATGAAGAAAACACATCTGATAAGATCCAACACTCTTTATCATGAACAATTCAGCAAGCTTTGAGTAGCGGAGAATATCCTCAGATTGACAATGGATATTTACAAAGCCTACAGCTGACATCATAGTTAATATGGGACACAGCATGCTTTCTCCCTAAGGTCAGGGCCAAAGTGACCTTGTCCCTTTAACACTACTACTGCACCACAGCATACTGGAAGGTCTAGCTCATGCACTAAGATAAGAGAATGAGGTAAGAGGTATGTAGATTAGGCAGGAATAATAATGCGCCATTGCTCTCATGATTTCTACATGATTTCTATGTATAATATCCCAAAGAATTGACAACTATCTCGAGTAACCAATACTTGGTTATAGTAATGGGACTGTTTGCTCATCAGTACCCTCACCAAGAGGTCCATCGGGTGGACACCCACCACTTCCTCAGGTGGTCTCTGACTTTGCACCTGCTTGGGCTCCCTTGCTGTGCATGTGGCCCAGGCCCTCTTCTGAGTGCTCTCTGTGGAGTTGAGCTGGGAACCTGGGGGCAGTGGAAGTGTCCTGGTCCTCAGAGGGTGGGGTTGCCTGCGTCATTGAGTTGAATACTATCTCTCAGTATCCAGCAAGAAAAAGAAGTACATGGAGTCCCATCACATGCAGGCTCTTTCCCACGAGCCCAAGAAACACAGGCCCATTGCTTAGGCTGGGGTTTCCAGAAGTGCTAGGATGGCACTTGGCTGGGCATGGGGCAGGGTGAAGGCCATCAGTGTGACAATGAGCAGCCTGTCCCAAAGCTCCCCTTTGGGGTGTGATGGCCCTCTGCTTCCCGTGCTTGTGGCAAATGTCTCTACACAAAGATCTCAATACTTGGGATTCTCTCAGAAAAACCCTGAGGTCAGGAGGCTGGTGTGGATGAAGTTGTCTCCTGTGCAGACGACATGGACAATGCTTGCCTCCATCTCCTCCAGGTTGAATGTCCTGAAGCCCTGAGGGCAGAGATGTCTCAGTGAGGGGATACATGACCCGTGCTGACCCCAGCCTGTGTCCTGATAACTGCTGTGGAGGGACAGTGCATATCCAGTTGAGATCAGGAGGCAGAGCCTGCTATCTGCATGTTCCTCCACAGGGAAAGGGACAGGGGCTCAGTGTCAGTAAGTTGTAGAGTCAGAGGGTGGTGAGGTCAGAGGCAGGTGTGGCCTGGCTGTGAGGCTGCTTGACATGATGGACAGGATCCACAGGGTTTCTGGGAAGTCCTGGGCTCTTGAAGGAGGTGGTCCTAGGCCCCCTGCCCGATCATATTCCTGTAGTCAGGGGCGATCGTTTGCTTCAGCTCCACCACTGAGGAGAAGATCCACTTCACCTGGGGGATGGTGTGGGTGAGACAGGCACAGTGTCCGTGAACTGCCACCTTCTCAGCTTGGACAGGAGAATGGGGGACAGTGTGGGGGCATTGTGGAGGCAGTGTGTAGGGGCAGTGTAGGGATTGTGCAAAGACAGTGGGTCAGTGTGGTGAGAGTGTGGGGACAGAGTGGGACCAGTGTGAGAGACAGTGTGGGGGCAGTGTGGGGGCAGTGTGGAGAGAGAACAGGGGAGAAATGGGGGAATGGTGAGGGACATTGTGGGACCATTATGGGGACAGTGTGGGAACAGCATGGGTACAGTGTAGAAGAGGGTATGCAGACAGCATGGGGACAGGGTGGGAACAGTGTGGAGGACATCATGGGGACAGTGTGGGGACAGGTTGGACAGTGCTGAAGACAGCATGGGAGCAGTTTGGGGACAGCATGGGACAATGTGGGGACAGTGTGGAGATACACTGAGGGCAGCATGGTGACTGGGGGACATTAAGGTTGCAGTATGGGAACATGGTAAGGGACAGCATGAGGACAGTGTAGTGACAGAGTAGGGACAGGATAGGGATGGGGTGAGGACAGTGTGATGATAGAGTGAGGACCAGCATGGAGTTAGTGTGGCAATAGAGTGTGGGCAGTACAGGGCTCATGGGGACAGCATGAAATCAGTGTACAGAAAGTGTGGGTGACAATTGGGGACAGGTGGGAACAACATGGGCAGTGAGGGTACAGTGTGGGATAGTCTGTGCAGGAGTGATGTGGGGACAGCCTGGGACACTGTGGGGCAGTGTGGGGAGCAGCAGGGGATATTGTGGGAATACTGCAGGGGAGAGCATGTAATAATGTGTGACATCATGTGACAATGTGGGAGATGGCATTGGACACTGTAGGGACAGCATGGGACAATGTGGTGACAGCACGGGGACAATGAGAACAGCATGGGACAAGGTGACAGATGGCATGGGTACTTTCAGGACATCAAGTCAGCGTGAGGGCAGCATGGACAGTGGGCATGGATGGAAAGCATTGGGGATGGTGGGGACAGTGTGGACATCATGGAGGCACTGTGATAAACAGCATAGGGACCAGTGTGGGGACAGTGTGCCCACCTTGAAGAGTGTGACAGTGGCACTGTAGCACACGCTGAGCAGGAAGAGGGTGATGAAGATGGTGATGGTCGTCCACAGCCCGTCCAGCTCCCCATCCTGGGCCTCGGCACAGGTCTCGTACAGGTCCATCTCTGGACAGGGAGAGGGTGGTCAGTGTGTGTCCCGAAAAGGTGGGGGCTGGGAAGAGTAGGGTGGAACTGACAGGAGACCTGGTAGGAAGGGCCAGCTTGGCTGGGCCAGCAGCACCCTCCTGGGGGCCAGCTCCCCTGGCTTCCCACTCTGTGCAGCAGCCTCAGTTCCCTCAACTGCTCCAGCTTGCATGCTGGGCTTGGCCAGGCACTCCAGAAATGACCAGAGACCCTAGCCTTGGATGGTGTCTGGGAACACACAGTACCTATTCCCTGTGTCAGGGCTTCCCCTGCAGACTGTGGCTTTGCAGCCTTCCTGGTCCTTTTGCCTTTCACCTGGACACCAGGCTTAGAGTTCCAGAGGCATGTCAGAGCCTTTACACAGCAATGCCTAGGCTGCAGGAAAGTTGGAAGTAGGAAGGGAGTTGGGACACACAGAGATGTGGTGTTATCTTCTGTGTGTGGGGTGGAGGCGCAAGCGTGAAGATGGATGCTTAGTGTGTCTGGCGACTAGGGGTACAGGTGCTCCTTATTAGAGGAGTAGTGATTCTGTGTGAGTTGGTCAGGATGTGAATGCTGTGATGGAACATGGACCTGTGTCCATGCCAGTGTTCAGTGACTGGATACATGCTGGGTCTGGTGCTGAACAGGTTGCCCAAGTGAGGCCCCAGTGTGGTGGCTTGTGCAAATGTGTGTGTACACATGTGCCCCACTGTCTGGGTGATACCCAGCATGCTTGTTCTAATGGAGCTGGGCCCAGTGTCCACTTGGGTGTCTGGGTCATTTGTTTTCTGATGCAGGGTGAGTATCCCCACCATGGACAGCCCTGGCCTCCTGTAGAGTGAGGTGGGGGAGTGTGAAGGGGCCTGGAGGGGCTGTCTCTGCACCCACAGCCGGTTTGGCCTCTGCAGAGCACAGAGAGAGCCCCTTTGATGTGAACAAGGGATGAAGATAGAGTGACAGAGGAAGGTCTTGTTATTCTTTGTGTTCCTTCCCTCAGGGGCTCCCTAAAAGTGTCTACCTGCATGGCCTAGGTCACTGTGGCCTATGAGGTGAGCCTGGGAGAGTGGTGCCTTGGGCCATGCCTCCTCACATTTGAGGGCCAACTCCCTGGTCAGGCCCTCCCTGGATGGAGGGGCAGACCCACATACTCTGTGTCTGGCTGATCTGGGTCAGCTCTATCTCCCTAATGAGGACAGCTTAGGCCTCTGACCACAGCCTAAACCCACAGCCTAAGGCCCAGGTATGTAGTGAACTCTCTGCCTCAGAAAGAACCATGACAGTCTTGCAGGGTCCCAGGGCAGTGCTGGGTGCTTTATTTAAATGGGGTGGGCGGGGGGAGGGTGTCAGCATCCTTGAGGGATCTGAGAGCCCATGGGATAGTGAGAGCTCGCCTGGTGCAGTGCTCATTTACCCGGAGACCGGGAGAGGCTCTTCTGTGTGAAGTGGTTGTGCAGGGCTTCGTGCATCACAGAGCAGGTGAACGTCTCTCCTCTCTGCCACTTGTCCTTATTCACTGTGAGCTTGCTGTAGAGGAAGTAGGTCCCATCAGAATCCAGGATGGGTTCGGTATTCTTGTAGTTCTCCTCTGGCTTCCCATTCTTCTCCCACTCCACAAAGATGTCCCCAGGGTAGAAGCCAGTGACCATGCAAGTCAAACTGACTTTGTCCTTGCTCATTTCTTCCAGGGGTGGAGGCAAGGTGTACACTTGTGGCTCCCTGGGTTGCCCTGTGGGAGAGAGGTCAGCATAGAGGTCACTGCCAGGGCAGAGAGGTTTCTAGCTAGGCTTTTACCCTGTGGCCATGGCAGCCTCTGCCCTGTCCACCACACCAGTCTCACCTTTGACTTTGGAGATGGTTTTCTCAATGGGGGCTGGAAGGGCTTTGTTGTTGACCTTGCACTTGAACTCTTTTCCTGACAGCCAGTCCTGGTGCTGTATGGGGAGGACACTGACCACACGGAATGTGCTGTTGTACTGCTCTTCCTTTGGCTGTGTCTGGGCTGTGTATAACTGCACGTTGTCCATGTACCAGCTGAACTTGACCTCAGGGTCATCATGACTCACATCCACCACCACACAGGTGACCTTGGGGGTCTGGGAGATTGAGAGTGTGTCCTTGGGCTTCGGGGGGAAGATGAATACAGATGGTCCCCCAAGGAGTTGAGGAGCTGGTGCAGGAGACACAGAGGAGACAGGTCAGTACCTGGGGCTACCCTCTAATGTGGGGCATCTCTGGGCACTTGTTCCCCTCCTGGGTGGAAGGGCAAGGCCTGGTGACTCACCTGGGCACTTTGGACATTCTTTGGGGGGGGTTGTGCTTCTGGGCACTGCAGAGAAAAGACTGGGGTTACTGCAGTGTAGGAGAGAAGGTGCCATCAGAGGGAGGGGAGAGGTTGGTCCCGGGGGGCAGCTTATCTCAGGACCAGGCTGTCCCCACATGTGACCCTGAACAGTACTGAGACCAGTACCCAATTCATTCTTTGTGTCCAAGTATTGGAGAGGGTCATTTAGTCCTGAAGGTCTCTCCCTGCCAGAGGAAGAGAGGCCTGGGAATATGCCTTCAGGTGAGAGACAGACGTGCTTCCCTGCACCCCTGGGCTGGGTTCTCTTTCCTGGCTGGCCAAAGTCCAGCCATGTTAAGTCCAGGCAGGTGGGCTGACCCCCAGCATGACTCCAGTGGACTCCCCCTTCCCTTAGGCTGTCCTCTCACCAATGGTCTTGTCCACCTTGGTGTTGGTGGGTGGGTGGGCTACATTGCAGGTGATGGTCTGGCTGGGCCAGCTGCTGGAAGGCACAGTCACCAAGCTGCTGAGGGAGTAGAGGCCTGCCTTCAGGACTGATGGGAAGGTCTGCACACCGCTGGACAAGGCTCCAGAGTTCCATGACACGGTCACTGGTTCAGGGATGTAGCCACTGACCAGGCAGCCCAGGGACACGGTTGAGGTAGATCTGACCCCGCAGCTGGGGGCCAATGGGAAGACAGATGGGGCGGTGGCACTGGCTGCAAGAGAGGAGATACTGAGTAAGCTTGGTGTCAGGCACAGCTGGGCACAGATTCCGGAGGCTGTATCCCCTAGGTCCTCCCCTCCCCAACCCAGGAGCCCTGACCTTCTGCAAGGATCCCACAGAGTGCAGTGTCTGCATATCTGCAGCCCACCTAGCTGTCCCCATTAGTCTCATCTTAGCCCTTACAGGCAAGACCAGCTGGGACAGGTGTCAGGGTGGGATGAGCAGGTCCCCTAGATTGGTGCTGCTCTAGTTGTGCCACCTGCTTTTGATCCCCAGAGCCTTCAGCTCTCCCTGCTTCTAAGTCTGCTCAGCTCTTGCCAGAGGCCCACTGATGTTACCCACCTAACCTTAACATCCCTCAGTCCAGTTTGGCCACAAGCCTGGTCTCCTCTTTTTCCTAGGATTGGGCTTGCTTCCTGGCCCTGCAGGCCTTCCACCCTTTCTCTGGCCAGCTCTCTCCAGCAGAACTTCTGACCCTGCCCTGCATCCTGCAGGCCTCACCCTCCCCTTTTTCCTACTACCTCCAGCTCTGGAATTTTCCCTTGGCCCTTTGTTCCTCTGGATCTCCTTTGCTTGATCTGGGCAGATGCATTGTGTCGACCAATGTCCAGCCACAACCCTAACCCTTCCCTACTCTCAGAGCAGAGAGAGTGGGTATAGCCCCCAGCCTGCACTCTGTGCTTCTTCACCTTTTATGTCCACTTCTCCTTTACCGCCTATCTCCATCTCATCACAGTGTACCCCTTCCTGGGGATCTCTAGTCTCCCAGTACCCACCATCTGCTCCATTCACCACCAGCTGCTTCGCCCTACTCCCCTAGCTCCAAGGTGACCTCCCAGCACTCCCATCTTCCCTACTCACAGCTGGCCTTTATTTTCTGCTCCCCTGAGCTCTTAGGGCAGCCCTGGCCTCTCAGCAATCCCCACTGGCCCCATTCACATCTACCAGCTCTGCCTTGCTCCCTGGGAGCTCCTGGGACAATCTTGCCTACCATTCGCCACCTGCCCACTCACTCAACCTGCTCAACTCTGCTCCCCTGAACTCCTGGGGCAGCTGTGGACTCCCAGCATTGCCCACCTGACTAATTCAATTCTATCTGCTCTGCCCTGCTCCCCGTGAGTGCCTGGGACAATCTTGCCTACCACCTGCCACCTGCCCCACTCAGGCAACCTGCTCTGCTCTGCTTCCCTGAACTCCTCACCTCCCAGCAAACCCCACTGGCCTCACTCACCTCTACCAGTTCTGCTGTGCTCCCCTCTGAACGCCTGGGACAGCTTTGGATACCAGGATCCCCACCCAGCACCACTGAACTCCACCTGTTCTGCCATGCTCCCTTGAATTACTGGGGCAGCTGTGGAATCCCAACATTGACCACCTCACCAACTCAACCATACGTGCTCTGCTTTGTTCCCCTGAGCTCCTAAGGCAGTCTGGCTTCCTGAAATCCCCACCTGCCCAATTCACCTATAGTAGCTCTTCCCTGTTCCCCTGAGCTCCTGGGGCAGCCCTAGTCTCCCAGCATCCCCCACCTGCCCCACTAACCTCTATCAGTTCTGCCCTATTCCCCCCTGAGCTCCTGGGGCAGCTATGGACTCCCAGCATTCCCCAACTGACCAGTTCAACTTTACCTGCTCTGCTCTGTTCCCCTGAGATCCAAGGGCAGCTCTGGTCTCCCAGCAACCCCCACCTGCCTTACTCACCTCTACCAGCTCTGCCCTGCTCCCGGTGAGCTCCCAGAGCAGCCCTGGCCTCCCAGTAACCCTTACCTTCCTCACTACACTCTATCTACTCTGCTCTGTTCCCCTGAGCTCTGAGGGCAGCCCTGGTCTCCCAGCAACCCCACTTGTCTCACTCACCTCTTCCAGCTTTGCCCTGCTCTCCTGAGCTCCTGGGGCTGCCCTAGTCTCCCAGCATCCCCCACCTGCTTCACTCACCTCTACCAGCTCTGCCCTGCTCCCGGTGAGATCGGGGGACAGTTCTGGCCTCCCAGAATTGCGCCCCCCCCGCCCTACTCAACTTCAGCTGGTCTGTCCTGCTCCCCTGAGCTCCAGGGGCAGTTTTGGACTCTCAGCAACCCCCATCTGCCCCACTCAACTCTACCAGCTCTGCCCTGCCCCCCTGAGCTCCCAGAGCAGCACTGGCCTCCCAGTAACCCCAAATGCCCCACTCACCACTAGCTGCTCTGACCTCCTTCCCTGAGTTCCTGGGAGGAGGATCCCTGGTCTCCCAGCAACCCCCACCTGCTCCACTAATCTCCACCAGCTCTGCCCTGTTCCCCTAAGCTCCAGGGACAGACCTGGCCTCCCAGGAACCCTCACCTGCTCCAGTCTCCTCTAGGTGTTCTGCCCTCCCTCTCTGAGCTCCTACAGCATCCCTGGTCTCTCAGCATCCCCCACCTGCCCCACTCTCCTCTACCAGCTCTGCCCTGCTCCCCTGAGCTCCCAGAGCAGCCCTGGCCTCCCAGCATTACCCACCTTTCCCACTCAACTCTACCTTCTCTGCTCTGTTCCCCTGAGCTCTGAGGGCAGCCCTGGTCTCCCAGCAACCCCACTTGTCTCACTCACCTCTTCCAGCTTTGCCCTGCTCTCCTGAGCTCCTGGGGCTGCCCTAGTCTCCCAGCATCCCCCACCTGCCCCACTAATCTCTATCAGTTCTGCCTTATTCCCCCTGAGCTCCTGGGGCAGCTCTGGTCTCCCAGCAACCCCCACCTGCCTTACTCACCTCTACCAGCTCTGCCCTGCTCCCGGTGAGCTCAGGGGACAGTTCTGGCCTCCCAGAATTGCGCCCCCCCACCCTACTCAACTTCAGCTGGTCTGTCCTGCTCCCCTGAGCTCCAGGGGCAGTTTTGGACTCCCAGCAACCCCCATCTGCCCCACTCAACTCTACCAGCTCTGCCCTGCCCCCCTGAGCTCCCAGAGCAGCCCTGGCCTACAGCATCCCCCACTTTCTCCACTCAACTCTACCTGCTCTGCCCTGCTCCTCTGAGCTCCTGGGGCTGCCCAGGCCTCTCAGTATCCCCTACCTGCCCCACTCAAGCTTAGCTGCTCTGCCCTGCTCCCCTGAGCTCCCAGAGCAGCCCTGGCCTCCCAGCATTACCCACCTTTCCCACTCAACTCTACCTGCTCTGCTCTGTTCCCCTGAGCTCTGAGGGCAGCCCTGGTCTCCCAGCAACCCCACTTGCCTCACTCACCTCTTCCAGCTTTGCCCTGCTCTCCTGAGCTCCTGGGGCTGCCCTAGTCTCCCAGCATCCCCCACCTGCCCCACTAATCTCTATCAGTTCTGCCCTATTCCCCCTGAGCTCCTGGGGCAGCTCTGGTCTCCCAGCAACCTCCACTTGCCTCACTCACCTCTACCAGCTCTGCCCTGCTCCCGGTGAGATCGGGGGACAGTTCTGGCCTCCCAGAATTGCGCCACCCCCACTCTACTCAACTTCAGCTGGTTTGTCCTGCTCCCCTGAGCTCCAGGGGCAGTTTTGGACTCCCAGCAACCCCCATCTGCCCCACTCAACTCTACCAGCTCTGTCCTGCTCCCCTGAGCTCCCAGAGCAGCAGTGGCCTCCCAGCAACCCCTACCTTCTCCACTCAACTCTACCTGCTCTGCCCTGCTCCCCTGAGCTCCTGGGGCTGCCCAGGCCTCTCAGTATCCCCTACCTGCCCCACTCAAGCTTAGCTGCTCTGCCCTGCTCCCCTGAGCTCCCAGAGCAGCCCTGGCCTCCCAGCATTACCCACCTTTCCCACTCAACTCTACCTGCTCTGCTCTGTTCCCCTGAGCTCTGAGGGCAGCCCTGGTCTCCCAGCAACCCCACTTGCCTCACTCACCTCTTCCAGCTTTGCCCTGCTCTCCTGAGCTCCTGGGGCTGCCCTAGTCTCCCAGCATCCCCCACCTGCCCCACTAATCTCTATCAGTTCTGCCTTATTCCCCCTGAGCTCCTGGGGCAGCTCTGGTCTCCCAGCAACCCCCACTTGCCTCACTCACCTCTACCAGCTCTGCCCTGCTCCTGGTGAGATCGGGGGACAGTTCTGGCCTCCCAGAATTGTGCCACCCCCACCCTACTCAACATCAGCTGGTTTGTCCTGCTCCCCTGAGCTCCAGGGGCAGTTTTGGACTCCCAGCAACTCCCATCTGCCCCACTCAACTCTACCAGCTCTGCCCTGCCCCCCTGAGCTCCCAGAGCAGCAGTGGCCTCCCAGCAACCCCTACCTTCTCCACTCAACTCTACCTGCTCTGCCCTGCTCCCCTGAGCTCCCAGGGCAGCTCTGGCCTCCCAGTAACCCCCAAATGCCCCTTTCACCACTAGCTGCTCTGACCTCCTTCCTTGAGTTCCTGGGAGGAGGATCCCTGGTCTCCCAGCAACCCCCAACTGCTCCACTAATCTCCACCAGCTCTGCCCTGCTCTCCTAAGCTCCAGGGGCAGACCTGGCCTCCCAGGAACCCTCACCTGCTCCAGTCTCCTCTAGGTGTTCTGCCCTCCCTCTCTGAGCTCCTACAGCATCCCTGGTCTCTCAGCATCCCCCACCTGCCCCACTCTCCTCTACCAGCTCTGCCCTGCTCCCCTGAGCTCCCAGAGCAGCCCTGGCCTCCCAGCATCCCCACCTTCTCCACTCAACTCTACCTGCTCTGCCCTGCTCCCCTGAGCTCCTGGGGCTGCCCTGGCCTCTCAGTATCCCCCACCTGCCCCACTCAAGCTTAGCTGCTCTGCCCTGCTCCCCTGAGCTCCTAGATCAGTTCTGGCCTTCCAGCATCCCCCACCTTCCTCACTCCACTCTACCTGCTTTGCTCTGTTCCCCTGTGTTCTGAGGGCAGCCGTGGTCTTCCAGCATCCTGCACCTGCCCCACTCACCTCACCAGTTGCTTCACCAGCTTCTGGGGTAGCCCTGGTCTCCCAGAAGCCTCCACCTGCCCCACTCAACCTTACCTGCTCTGCTCTGTTCCATGAGCTCTGAGGGCAGCCCTGGTCTCCCAGCTGCCCCACTCTCCTCTACCAGCTCTGCCCTGATCCCCTGAGTTGGTCTCCCAGCATCCTGCACCTGCCTCACTCACCTCACCAGCTCCTGGGGCAGCCCTGGTCTCCATGCAACCCCCACCTGCCCAACTCATCTCTATCAGTTCTGCCCTATTCCCCCTGAGCTCCTGGGGCAGCTATGGACTCCCAGCATTCCCCAACTGACCAGTTCAACTTTACCTGCTCTGCTCTGTTCCTCTGAGCTCCAAGGGCAGCTCTGGTCTCCTAGCAACCCCCACCTCCCTCACTCACCTCTACCAGCGCTGCCCTGCTTCTGGTGAGCTTGGGGGACAGTCCTGGCCTCCCAGAATTGTGACCCCCGCCCCAATCAACTTCAGCTGCTCTGTCCTGCTCCCCTGAGCTCCAGGGGCAGCAGAAACCCCCATCTGCCCCACTAAACTCTATCTGCTCTGCTGTTTCCCTGAGCTCCCAGGGCAGCCCTGGCCTCCCAGCAACCCCTATCTGCCCCACTCAACTTTACCTGCTCTGCCATATCCAGGTGAGCTCCCAGGACAGTTCTGGCCTCCCAGAATCCCCCAAAGGCCCAACTCCCCACTAGCTGCTCTGCCTGGTTTCTCTGAGCTCCCGGG